CCCCCCCCTCCAATAACGGACGCTCCTCCCGCGGGGGCGGGGCGAGGGGGGGGTCTTAAAGGGACCGCGACACCGGGCTGCGCGATGGAGTGTGTGTGTGTTTATTCACGTGTGCGCGCTGACATGCGTATGCCTGCTAATATGCGTGCACACTCACATGTGCGTATGGACACGCGTGCTAATCGACATGTATGTGCCTACCCACATGTCTGCATGCACTCCCATTGACATGTGTTCCCATCAATGTGCGTGTGAGATGATGTGTGTGTGCCCGTTTACATGTATGTGCGTGGACATATTAGTATTAACATGTGTGTGCAGATTAACACGTGTGCATAAACATGTGCGTGTGCTCATTCACTTGTGTGAGTGTTGATGTGTGTGCGTTAACGTGGGTGTGCATGTTCACATGTGTGTATGGATGTGTACATCCTCATTCACACGTGTGCACCTCTGTATGCACACAGGTGTGTGCACATTCACATGTGTGCACCCTTTGACATGCACCTGCATTGACATGTATGGACCCACTCGTATGTGTGCACGCATGTGCACACACACACGCATGCCCACTGACACGTGTGTGCACACAGACATGTGTGTGCATGGACATGTATGTGCTCCTTCTCACGCGTGCACACGGACACGTGTGCTCCTGTTAATACGTGTGTGCACATTGACATCTGTGTGCACGAACACGTGTGTGTGCACCGACACGTGTGTGCCCATCCACACGCACGCGGAGCGACACGCGTGTGCGGTGGGTGACGCGGCCCCTTTAAGAGCGGCGCCGCGGGCGGATTTCTGCCCTCCGACGCGGACAGCGGGCAGCGCCGCCCTCCGGGGCCGCGGGTTCGCGTCCCGCTCCCTCCACTTCCGCCTCCGCCGCTTCCATGGTAACGGCGCGGGGCCGCGGGGGGGGGGGGGGGGCGTCCCGGGGGGGGGGGGGGGGCTCATAGGGGGCGGTACGGGCGCCATGACGGCCCCTGACGGCCCCCCCCGCCCGCAGGCGTGCGGCCTCCAGCGGCGCTTCGGTGATGATGGGGACCTGGGGGACGAGGTGAGCGGCGGGGGGGAGGGAGGGGTGGATTTTTGGGGGGGTGGGGTTGCGGTTCTGCCCATCCGCTCCTTCTGCCCCGCAGGAATTCCTCTCGGCCGTGCGTGACGCCGAGCACCGCTTCGCTCTCCCCGCGTCCCCCGCAGAGCCCGGGCAGAGCGGGGGGGAGGGAGAACCACCCCGATGGGGGGGGAACAGGGAGGAGGAGGAGGGGGGGGGCGGAGGGAGCCGCTAAGAGACCGCGGCTCGGACCCCCCCACCCCCCGCTCTCCCAATGGGCTCTGAGACCCAGCGCGGCCGGAGATCGCCGCCCCCCCACCCCCGGCCCCCCCCTCCGGCACCGGGCTGTGGGGGGGTCCCGGTAACTGCGTCGCCCCCCACCCAACCCCTCCGGAACCGCCGCCGGGGGTCCCGCCCAGCCCGGTGCTCACCAACCACGTGGTTCAGTTGGTGGCTGCCGCCAGCAGAGCCCCCCCCCCCCC